ACAGGTCGATTTTGGCCTGTCTAATTAATATTCATGAGCCTCTCTTCTGATTGGCCTGTTGTTTTCTGAGTGATGCATGGCCAGGCCAACCACAGGTAACTAGGGTCAGCTGACGTCACAGTGCTAGCTGGAGGCAGCAAAACAAAGGGGAAACTGGAGGCGGCCCATTCAAACCAGCGCAGATTCGGCTACATAAGGAGCTTAAAATAGGCTTGTTTGAGATGAGCAAAATCTGCACAGAACCGATCACCGGTGATCACCGCGAGATGCATGTCGGTTAGAAATATGTCCGAGTTACGTCCGACGGCTGTGTCGGATTGTGCAGTCGAGCGCAGTTGTTCTCCACTGATCAAAAGCATCAAAAGCATGATGGGAAACGACTGACTGACGACGCAGCTTAATGCTCATTGGTTCAGACATGCGTTCTCTCGCGTCGGTGTCTATTAAATTATTCATGAGACTGCGTGTTCTTATCCTATGAGAAGACGTTTCGCTTAATTATTCACAACAGCATGTGTTGATTTGCTATGACAAACGCTTCAGTCTGTGAGAAGACATCGGCACATTAACTGAGAGAAACGTTCACGGATCAAAGGAGAGTGTTTGTTTTTGCTTTGTAATAAGAGTTCGGCACAAACTCGATTAATTCACTTAGTGAGTGTAACCGTGTTTACAGCTCCTTGACACAATCCGTCAAAAGGCCTATATAAACACCGCAAAATAATCCTTACAAGTTATCAGAGGTGCAACAGCGCCTTCATATATCGATGGAGAGTGCAAATGGCTGTGATTTATTTGCGTTTTCAACTCGATGGGAGCGAAATGAAACTGTCTGAACCCGAAGCTGTGTGTGTTGTCTGTCTCCCCTCTTCCCCCTCCACTCTGCAGCGTACCACAACCACTTATTTATTTATTTTTAGCGTTTTTTAAAACTGTGGTGAGAACTAACCAGTGCTGAATCAGGGGGTTTCATGACCCTTTAATTTCCCTGAAGGAAACGGGAAACTATTGGTTTAGTTCTGCGTGTCATTTTTTCCTCACAAGTCCTTTTGCAAAGGCCATAGAGGAGGTTATATTCATCAGCTATGGTTTGCCTGAACACAACCTGCTGAAAGCAAACCGACACACACACACACACACACACACACACACACACACACA